TTCAATTAATTATAATTATCTAAAGGGCTGTTACAAAGAAGAGTGGGATTATTTTCTTTTGTCCCAGAGGATTGGAACCATTGGATTAAAACTATAAGAGCTACAGTGGCACAGTGGTTAGAGTGCAGTACTTCAGGCTACTTCTGCTGATCACCAGCTGCCAGCAGTTTGGCAGATCAAATCTCACCAGGCTCAAGGCTGACTCAGCCTTCCGTCCTTCAGAGGTGGGTAAAATGAGGACCCAGATTGTTGGGGGCAATTGACTGATTCTGTAAACTGCTTAGAGAGGGCTGTAAAGCACTGTGAAGCTATATGTAAGTGAATGCTATTGCTATTGCTATAAGCAAAGAAGCTGACGCCAGGAGGAACTTCCTGGTTATATTAGTTGTCAGTCAATGGAATACATTGCCACATGAAATAATACATTTCCCTTCACTGAGATCTTCAGAGAGAGGTCATCTGTCAAAAATGATTAGTGAATCCTTCATTAAGCTGTGAGTTGGGCTAGATGACTTCTAAAATTCCTTCCAAACCTATGGGATTGGTGTTGTTGTTTTTTAGATATCACATGCAGTCATCCCTTGCTCCAAATTAAGATTTGCTATCACAGTGATTAAAGATGATTCTGTCTCAAAACTAAAGGCACAAATGCCAAAGTGAAATCGGTTTAATCGCCTGAGATCATTCACAGCTGTGCTGCTGCTACCCTTCCAAACTCCTTGCCATTAAAGGATAATACTAATACTGATGTTGTTAGCTAGTTTAGTTAATGAAATGTCTGCAAGAAAACAACCAAACACAGAGAGCATCAAGGATCCCTCCTATGTACACCCAATCTATAATTACTGTGAACTTATGAATTGAGGGAAACTCTGTTGTTGCCACCTTAATCCTATCTTGGGGGGTCAACCAACATTACTGCATCCCATTTTCACAACTTTTTGGATTGATCAGGCTAGTTCCTCCCCAGGTCTAACTAAACCCTGCCAAAACATCCTGTGCCTTGCTAGTTTGCTGCTAGATCAGATAAAATAAAAATCATTTCCACAAAACTGAGTAAGACAATTTTGTATATACTTCATTAGAATCTATATCTCTTGGACTGTTTCCTAGAAACTTATTTCAAACAGGCTGAGGAACAAAATGCCACCTTTTATGAAGCTATTTAAACAAATGGAGGGGGGGGGAAGCCAGGCCCAAAATTGGTCTCTTATGTTTTCCTCATCAACATGTGAAAGAAATTTGAGAACGACCAAGCCATGTATTAAAAAGAAAAAATAGTGTGGTTTGAGTTAGGGTTTTTCCTTAAAAACATTAATACATAGGCTAGAGATTAGGAAAATAAATTTGTTCTCCTGGATGGTGTCCCACCTTTAAAATTCTTAGAAAAATGTATTTTGACTTCTTTTTTCCACCAGAGATAATTGGGATGGGGAATTGTTTATTTAAACAAAAAAGAAACAAGTCAATTTGTGGTCTTGGTTACAACATTAAAATATCACTCAATGGAAGTTAATATAAATATCTACAGTTTCCTCTGACCTTCTATTTTAAGCTCACAACTGTACAAACTAATGATTTCAAAATCAGATATTTTTCCAATTCTTCCTCTGCTTTGTAATGTTCCAATCAATAATCTGGACAGCTTTACATGTTTGAATTCTGCCAATATAGACTCTAATGCAATAAGGTTGGCAACAGTTCTATTGGCCTCCCAGAAGATCCTTAAAACATGATTCTGTAACTGGTTTGAGGAACCCTTGATAGAATATAGCGGGCGTGTAAAACTCAAGGCCCAGGGGCAGGATCTGGCCTTTGAGATGGTTAGATTTGGCCCACGGGACTGCCCTGGAAACAGCAAAGGACTGGCACGTGGCCCTCCCGAGCTCTGTTTTCACTGGCCGAGGGCTGCAGGATGCTGTCACAGCCGAAAATAAAGCCTGGGAGAGCTCTGTGTGCCCCTCCCAAGCTCCATTTTTGCAGAGTGCTATCAAAACAAACTACTAGCAAAAGTAGCATTTGATAACACAAATGACATTGAGCTGGCCACACCCACCCTGGCCACACCCACACTGGCCCAAGGTCGAACACAACCCTGTGGCCCTCAATGAAATCGAGTTTCACACCCGGGGAGTAGAGCCTACTAGATGGCTTTAGGATAGATAATTGAACACACTCTTTTGTATGTGTTCCTGCCATACAGTTTTTAAAATATTTTATTTTATATCAATGGCGCTTAGATTTATATATTGCTTCATAGTGCTTTACAGCCTGCTCTAAGCAGTTCACAGAGTCAGCATACAGGTCTTAACAATCTGGATCCTCCTTTTACTGAAAAAGCAACTTTTCTTGGGAAGAGGTAGCTGTAAAAGAACTCCAGGCCACCAAAGAACACAATGGCATGACATCATCAAAGCTGACCACAGCCAGAGCATAGAGAAACTCAAGCAGTGCAATTTCAAAAGATGTGGAGAGACCTGACCCATAAAATCGCCAAGAGGTGGACCTGATTGAATGGGTAACATCAAGATAGACAGACAGACAGATTTTTCTTATCATCCAAAGCTACTTGGGGGCAGGGAGATGTCTGAAAATATTTAAAAATGGCTGCTCTGCCTCTTCCTCTTTTTCAAGTTGAGACTTTATTCTCAGCAAAAGCTATGAAGTTTGATTTCCAGTGATTTTCCTATCCCTTTTCAAAATCTTACATTAATCACTTAAATCAATTACAGTTTTGTTAAGTATACAGGCCGAGTAGCAAACGTCCATTACATTTTCTACCTACCAAATGCCTACTGTACTTTATCTCCCCAAGGGTTTGTATGTGGGTTTGAATTCAGAGTCTGGAGATGATTACGTATTCACAGCCTCTTTGCTTCTTTATCCAACACTTCCTGAGGTGATCCTGATTGCAGTCTGAAACTATTAGATCACTCAGCAAACCCTAATTTGAAAGTCTACTGTACTATCTCCTTCCAATTCTACTTTAAGAATTCTGATCATCAGTATCCACCTCATTTCCCATTCTTGGCTCATGGAAAGTTCTAGAAACTTTGAAAGCAGACTCCTCTTCATCCCCATTAGTGAACTGCACTAAATCTCTGTGGCAAATGATCCTGTAAATGTATTTATTAAACAGTTCTATAAATCCACTGTAACATCTTACACACTGTATAGATTTTGGTTTGCAAGCTGCATTTACCAATTTGTTTCTGGGTCAAATTCAAGGTGTTGGTATTGATGTTTAAATCCCTTCATGGCATGGGACAGATATTTGAAAGACTGTATTTCCCAAATTCATCTGCTTGTCCCACCAGATCCAGCTAAGCAAGCATGATGCAAGTTCCATCTTAAGCAAATCCTACTGTAAGTGGCAGGCCTTCTCTGCAGTGGTTAAGTGGTGGAATCTCTTATCTATTGTGTGGAGGTTGGCTTTATCACTTCCAAGCTTGTGGAAGTCCATCAAAACCTGGTGTTGTAGATAGACCTGGGTATCCCAGATGAAGTGGCTCTGCTATATTAACATAACTTCACCTTCTGTTTAGTATAGCTCAGTTTTTAATAGTTAGTCCTCAACTTAACAGTTCATTTAGAAACCAGTTACAATGGGACTGAAAAAAGTGACTTATGACAGTTTTTCACACTTATGACCACTGCAGCATCCCCAATCACATGATTAAAATTCAGATGCTTGGCAACTGGGTCATATTTTTGATGGTTGCAGTGTCCTGGAGTCAGGTAAGCAGCTTTTGCAACCTTCTGACAAGCAAATTCAGTGGGGAAGCCAGATTCACTTAACAACTAAGTTGTTAATTTAACAACTGCAGAGATTCACTTAACAACTCTGGCAAGAAAAGTCATAAAATGGGACAAAGCTCACTTAACAAATGTCTTGCTTAGCAACAGAAATGTGGGGCTCAATTGTAGCTGTAAATCAAGGACTACTTGTAGTTTTCGATGTTTTCATTGTTAAATGACTTTTAAGTATTAACTTGTAACTTTTAAGTATGAACGGTCTGTGAGATGGACAGTTGTTAAATAATTAAACATTTATTCTCCATAGAAATTTATTACTGTCTCTCCTTCCTCAGTTGTCCTAAATACAGAAATCATTACATAAAACCTAACCGCAACACAAGGAAATGTTATCTGAATGATAACTTCTATGCCAAATTCACTTGGCTGAAATATTTGAAAGTATTTATATTTTAGTCTAAATATTTTATCTGTAACCATGTACCGATTTACCAAATGAAAATCATGCCATGCACAGGATGAAATAGGATGTATAATCTGTACAGTATCCACAGTATGTCTTAATCCTTCAGGGGCCAAAGGGCCCTTTTCTATTTTTTGCTGCAACAGTCCAAGCATAGCAACACTTATGGCATAATTCCTGACCAAATATTTTAATGATTTCCCCAAATCATAGATCATCCTTACCCAAACAAGCTTTCTCCAGGCTGGTTCCTCCAGCTCTCACTTCTGGAATTTTTCTTTTCCTTTTGCATTTTATTTACCAAAAAAATATATGTTACCATGGCTTACAACTATTTTTGGATTAGATAAAACGTTTGATTAATGCAGTGACTTCATCAGTTCCGTCGAGATAGGAATTTATTTTTGGATTTAAAAAGCTAATAATATCGCTAGCTCCGCTCCGCCCCCAGCCCTGAATGAATGAACTCGGCTGCTTTAGCACAACGTCTCCCGGCCTGCCTTGTGAAAGGCGAAATAGGGATGCGGGGACTTTCGGCCTCCGTGTTCAGACACCACGTGAAACAGATGTGGCAGACGCCTTCCCAGCTGGAACGCAGCACCCACCCCGCCCTTTGCTCAGCGAGGGTTTCAAAGCAAGCCTTGAGGACCTGAGGCGAATGATTCGCTTCTCATTGGCTGGAAAAGTTAGAGCCGCTTGCCCGATTGGCTGCGGCGCTGTAAGAGGGAGTTGTGGGCTCCAATTATAAAAGGGACTTCGCTCAGGCGGCCAGGAGATTAGCGCTCCGGATCAGAAAGTGGAATTCGTGGTACTTGCTGAATCCGAATTCCTCCTGACACCCCGCAACAGACAAGTCGCTTGTTAATCGCTGCAGCGAAGCGCTTTTGCTGGCGGCGGTCCGATTCAGCTGGAGGAACACGGAGGGAAGCAAGCAAGTGGGACCATGGATCTGAGTTCAGGGATTCAAAAAGTAGGTACTTTGCCCCCGTTTCTTCTCCGGGGAGCCTTGGTTTCTCTTTCGTCCTCCCTCAAAGTTTTTAAAGCGGGACAGCTGCTTTTTTTCATATTTGCAAACCTGTTCATTTGCAGGAAAACCTCATTGCGCTCAATGGGCATTCTTTTTGAACCAGCCTCTGTAAAACGGCGCAGCTGGACCTTCCTTGAGGAGCTGCCGTTGTTATCTGAGAAGCGAGGTGCTCAAAGTGTCCTTTTTTTGTAGGTAGCTTATAATGCACTTGCCTTAGACTTTATTCGGGAGAGTCAACATAGGTAACCGCAGCAGCTGGTACGTACGCTGCCAGTCTTTTCTACATGTTAAGTCTTTAAAGCAACTACCTGAGTTTGCTTATGTTATAAAACAGTAACGCATGAATAGATGGAAGCTGTTAGTCGTCTGTTTAGTTCTAGACTTTTGACCTGGTTCCTGGACTCCCGGAGTGCTTGTAGAATGTAACCAAGGTGACAAAATGTATCATGCAAATTAGGCTTATTAAAACATCTTAGTCTGTTTTCCTTTAGAAATATGGGGAATAGAAAGCCATGAATTAAACATATGGCATTATAATATGCACCCATATATTCACTTTACTTTTCCCCTTTATGCGATCGGTAAAGAAATTCTGCAGGAATGGGCTACAATCCTGTACACCTTTTTAAATCTCAAACTTTTGGTCTTGCTATGTTTGTTAGGGCTTCATTTCCAGGAAATGTGAACAGAGGGTTTAAGTTTTACACAGGATTGTTTTGAAATTAATATATGAAAGGATCTACAGCTGTGTTGCTCTGCTTCCTACTTCCTTTTCCTGAGAAACTGTTCATTTAACACAACTGATATGAAGAGTGAAGGACATTGACTCCACTGTTCACTTTTTATAGCCACACCCAAATGAAGCTGTATAAGAGGGATAGAAAAAAGTGTGGGAATGGGGGAAAGTGAAGGGATGGGTGATGAAAGAAAATTTAGGTAGAATTGGAATTAGTGGTGTGACAGGTGTGAGGGCAAATCCAGTAGTTGAATCAAGTATGTGATGAGAGAAATATCAACTGGGTGGTGAGAGATGTTATGTAATGATCAAACAATGGGAGTTTTACCCAACAACCCAAGCCAGTTCCCAAAGTAGACAATAGGCTAAGGTGTTTGAGCATACAGAAGTTGGCACTAAATAAACCAAAATCAGAATGAACTGTAATTTGATTTTCTCAAGCAGATTGTAAAAGCCAATTCAGCTAAACACTTTTCTCCTAGAAGTTAAAAAGTAACTGCAAAAAAGGAATTTATTTCCAAGTAAGTCTGCTTTCTAAAAACTTATTCCCAAAGCAGAGAGACTGGGGAGAAGCCTCCTAACTTTTACCATGACTCCAATATAAAAAATAAAAATATAATTTAAGTAGAGTGAATTTAGTACTCAAAGGAGCTCCAACTTTGAAAGCCATTGCAAATAATTGTGCCTGGATCTCAGTCCAAAAATCTAGGGCTTGTACTCAAAGGGTAATAATGGAAATCCAAGGATGCAAAATTGTAAAGTTAAAGAAAAATGTAGTTAGGTTTAGGATTATAGTGATAGATGTGAATAAAGATAGAACTAGACAACAGAAACAAGTTTCCTTGCTAAACTCCTTTTTATATATTAAAACACTTTGCAGTGGAGCAAAATGCAATAAAATCTCTATGATTTGTGCCAACTTGAGTTCTTACAAATAGTGTTAGTATTAGGCATAGGAATGTGCATGAAAAAAGCTGTTTCCCAGAGAAGTAGCATTTCCTTACTTTAGTTGAAAAAAATACAGAATAAAGATACCTAAAATAGTGAAATATAAGATGTCTGACATTATTTACAATATTCTTATTGAAGAGTATCATTACAATAAAAACTAATACAAACTGAAAAATGAGAAAAAGGAGGAATAAAAGGTGGACAAAAGAGGAAAATGGAGAAATAGGAAAAATGTAATCTTCATATTCTATATACAAATATAAACAATAAATTTTAGTAATTTATCACCTTTTAAAAAAACGTCTTCGTCCCATTTCTCTTATGTATAAACAATTCCATAAAGCATGATTTCAACAGCAGAGGTGTCAGCAAAAGTTCTTGTAAGAGTTACAAGAAATAACAGACATATTTTAACCTTGATCACATAAACCAATGTTATATTCCTCTCTTTAACTGTTAATCTTAATTTTTATTCACGTCAAATAATGTTGTATAACTTGAGCTCTTTCCATTATTTCTTTGACTTAACATAATTCTTTAAAACTTTAACAAGCTGCATTTGTATGGGAAATTTACCCAGGCCATTCTTATGCTTCGTTATTTAAATTATCCCTTTTAATTGTTAAAACATCAGCCAGTTTTCTTTTTTATGTCCAATATAACACCATTTTCCTTACTGTTCATGAGGCAAACCACTTGGTCCCAGTCTTGTGAGAAAGAATTTGTTTCTCTTCCATAATATCTTATAGACACAGGGTATCTATAAATGAAGGTATTTCTAAAATTAATTTCAGGATCCATTGATCAAAAATATCCTTTAATATGTCTAATATTCAAATACTTTACTTCATTCTGTAATTGTAAGTTGAATGCAATTGTTCTTTTTAATTGTAATCTTTCTAGTGATCTTATTCTAGTGATCTAATTGTTAAAATCTTATGGGTTTTTTTGTAAAAAAAAAAACATTTTCCCATAGGAATGATTCTTTGTAAGTAATTTCAAAATCTTATTTCAAATTTATATGGACTCATAGTCAATTTGTAACTTTCTAAAATCAAGTGTTTTAATCATCATTTTATAAGTTCTAAGATACCCCATTAAAGACCACTGTTTTGCAGTCTCCTCACAAGCAGCTTTATGAAGCATTTGTGGGCAATCTCAAGTTCTCTCCTTGTCCTGAGAAGGGTTATCAGAGAGCCAATCTACTCTTTATTCTGCAATCATTGGCTCTTCTCTTCACAGAACTATGTTCACTCTGCTATTTTTTCCCAGAGGTCTGCAAGCTTAGATGCATTATTTATAATAATCAAAAGGATGGTTTCATCTTTTAACTGGATAAAATATACATGCATGGCCAGGGTAAGTCTCTGTTTGATCACCAGAAGGATGAAACTATGCATTAGTCTTTTTGCATTTGTTATCCATAGTTGTAAGGCAATGTGTGCCAAACACACATTGAAGGTTGCATCGTGGTTGTGGTTGGCATCGGAAAGGGTGGGGAGTATGGCCAGAGTGTCAGTGACTAGCTCAACATCACTCATGTTGGGGGCGCCTGTGGAGCCCCGAGCTCTTGGCCCTCCCAAGCACCATTTTTACTGGCAGAGGCACCGTGGGCTGGTCCTTTGCTATTTCCAGGGCAGCCCTGCTGGCTGGATGCGGCCCTTGGGCCTTGAGTTTGACACCCCTCTTGTAAGGGGTGAAGAAAATGAAACACTACCATTATGAAAGAATAAAATATTAAATCCACAGCCATTGTATCTACAACTCTTGGGACCTAAGGAAAAAGTGGCTGAAGGCACTCAGAGAAGGTTGTAGAAGAACAGTTTATGCAAATATTGCCAGGTCCAATACATTTTTGTATGCATTAACATCACCCCAAAATGTCTACAAAAAATAGTTTCCAGTACAGTAGCTGAGAATTATATGAACAGAGCTATCCAAACACCCCAGGGATTTACTATAGTAATAAATACTGACTTCATAGCCTGCTGTTGCTAAGTGGAAAGAAACTCCTGTAATAAAATTAACTGAAATAATGACCAGAATAGCTGAAAAGAGGCAGGAAAAAGAAACAATAAGAGATGAGATACCCCCTCTATATTAAAAGGAATAAACTAATGAAGTGATTTCAGACAAGAATAGAATAACAGAGTTGGAAGAGACTTTGGAGGTCTTCTAGTCTAACCCCCTGCTTAGGCAGGAAACCCTACATCACTTCAGACAAATGGTTATCTAACATCTTAAAAACTTCCAGTGTTGGGGCATTCACAACTTCTGGAGGCAAGCTGTTCCACTGATTATTCTCACAGTCAGGCAATTTCTCCTTAGTTCTAGGTTGCTTTTCTCCTTGATTAGTTTCCACCCATTGCTTCTTGTCCTGTTTTCAGATCCTTTGGAGAATAGCTTGACTCCCTCTTTTTCTGGCAACCCTTGAGATATTGGAACACTTTATTTTTAACTAGTAGTTTACAATTTTGAGCAAAAAACTTAGCACGAAATTTTTCATCATCAACATTTGAGAAGCCATGTATTAAAAACTTAAAATAGCTGGTTTGGTTTAAAGTTTTTCATATAAACATAATTAATGCATAGGCTAGAGAAAAGGAAAGATAGGGTCATTATCCTGATCTACTTTTAAATGTCTCGAAAAACATTTTAACTTCATTTTAAAAACAGCTTTGTTGTTTGAATTAATTTTTCTGTTTTCTCAGTGTGGTTTCATATTTGTTGCATCTTTTATTTATTTTACAAGCCTTATATGCCACTCCCATTGAAATTAACACAATGTTTTACATACAAATGTCTAAAAAGGATTAAACAATGAAAGAAAAAGAAAATAAAAAAAACAATATAATCCTCTTGAACCAGGATATTATCAAATCATAAACTTTATAGCTACATACATATTTTCTTAAGGCTTGTTGTTGAAAGCAAAAATGAACCATTTGGACTGTTATCCCTACAAAATCTGATCACTTTTCCTCCCATAGAAAGTTGGTAGGAAATTTATTTATAAAACAAAAGGAGAAAAAAATGGCTATTTAATATATACATGTGTATTTACCAATTTTTTTTAAAGGTTCATACATTGTATTTTCCTTAGTGTAATAATTGCTGATAATTTACTGAACTGTCTGTTGCAAGGTATGCAAATCCTTCAGTGACCAAAGGACCCTTTTTTATTTTTGCCACAACTGTCTAAGCATAATTATGTCCATGGCATAATTCTGGCCAAGTATTTTAATGATTTCTCCAA